CTTAAATCAAAAATACGGCAACACTAAATTTTTACTACAGTCAATTAATAAATCAACATAAAGAGTCTATTTCAGTACTACAGTCGAAATGAACGAACGCGTGTACATAGTACAATGAACCAACGTAATGGAATCAAAGTGATGTTAATAATAAAATCAAAATGGCTTGATTACGAATTCAAAACTAATTTATTCATGAAATCGTCTGTATAATTGCGGTCTAAACTCCGTTCCTAATTGCTCCTTTGTAAGCGCAACGAGAAGCCAACATTCCGTCTTTAAGTGTATGAAACACATTTAGATGTTAATTGGCAGTCGTCAAAATATCTTTGAAAATAGTCGTCATTACTTTTTGAATTATAATTTTATTGTGGTTCCTGGAAAATGTTGTTTACTTATTTTTGGCTTGGTACGTCAGCAGTCGTCTTTCCTATTTACTTCTTGTTGAACTCAACGTTAAAGAATTTCGAAATTTTCATGGAGTCTGAGAATGTTAAGGAATGAATTATTGTAGAAAGTACATGAAATAGTAGACTCTTCAATTACATGCATACTCCTAATCCACACCTAAACAAATAATAATAAATTATCACCCATCAGAAAATTAAACGACTATATTTAAAAAAATATGATTCTACGACTTTTTTATAATTTAGAGGTTGATTACTCGTTGAAGGAGAGTGCGCACTAAATAAAATTTTCATTTCATAAATGAATTGCTTGACAACCACTTCTAATTGTGATTTTATACGCTTTATCATATTGTAAAGTGTAAAAAAGTAATTTGAGTAATTTTGTAATCCAGCCACCTTGTCATTGAGAAGTTGAAAGTATGAATAGAGGTGAACCCTATTTATTTTACATAAGACACATGATTATACTTTATGAAGACTTTTGGAATTGAAAAGGCAATATGTTACCTGGCCAGAGAGTCAAGGTCAATGTTTGGGCTTGCTATGATCATTGACACAATGTATCGAATAAAATTATCATGGTTTTTCTTTTTTTTTCATGGTATAAGCCGGTAAACGAGCAGATGGATCGCCTGATGGTAAGCAATCTGCATCGCCCATGGACACATGGAACACCAGAGGCGTTACAAGTGTGTTACCGGCCTTTTAGGAATTAGGAGTTTGAGGATCGTTAGGGATTCAGGAATTGGGGAGATTGGGGGAGGGGATGGGTAATTGGGCCTCTGGTAATCTCACTCACATGACGAAATACAACGCAAGCGTTGCTTCACGTCGGTTTTCTGTGAGGCCGTCGTATCACTCCGGTCGAGCTGGCCCATTCGTGCCGAAGCATGACTCTGCCACACTAGTGTTAATGTCAATTATTAAGGAGGAATGTTACACTAGATTCTGCTATAATTAGACTAATCACATTTTTAAAACATAATGTGAATTGAGGTGCGAGTACAAAGGTTTTTATTTTTTGTTTTACAGAACACAATTAAAAACTATGACGGTCATTGATATTTCAAATTTAGTTCCTAGATCATTAGCTCAGTATCTAGGCCAATGTTCTTTAGTCAGATTATTCTCCAAACTTCACAGCCGTGATCCAGGACTGACCAAATTATTCAGTCCGTTAACTTCGTAAAGAGGTCGACAATTTTCGCCAGTTGACGTTACCTACATTAAATTGTGTAAGGTCTTAATGGACTTCGGAGCTGGAATTTCCGACATTTCTTTAATATAATAATATATGTGTAGAATTGGTGACTATTTTTACTTTTTTTTTGGGTTATGTCAATGTCGTGTCGCATCGAGTCCATTACTATAAATAAGAGCATAATTGAGTAAAATTGTTAATGTTGAAAACTAAATATTGTAAATTATTCCTCGTGATATGAATGACTTATAAAGTTATTATTATGGACTAGCCCGTTAGCCATTACCCGCGATTTTGTCCGCGTAGAATATGAATTGTGGATAATATCTTTTTTTGTTTCAATTTTCCAAAACAATAGTAGCCATAATACTCCTTAGTACATTAACTACCGGCCAATTAAAGTCTTGGAAAATCGGTCTAGCCATTTTAGAGATAAGCCAGTACAGACAAACAGATAAAAATTGTAAAAAAAATGCTATTTTGGTATGTAATAATATGCATGTAGCAAAAAGTGGTTATTATAATATTACAAGAGACATTCCAATTTCATTAATAAATATGTACTTTTTTTTTTATGACGCGACAGTAAACTTACATTATATTTCATTATCTGTATTTTTTTTAAGGGGGAAAAATCATCGAATTTCTTCTCCCGCCTGGGTGAGGCGGGAGGGAGTGTCAGACTCATACTGACTAAAAACCACCCCGTTCCTTCTCCTGCACGTCGAGCCGGAGCCCCGGTTACCCGTTAGGTTCTCCGCGACTATCTGTATGGCTTTAATATTTAACAAGCCATGTACCTATACACGAATTACACAAAAATCTGTCTACAACAATTCTATTCTTCCATATTTTAGCAAAGTGATGCACAAAGCAAATTAATTCAACACTTGACATGCACTTTCAACAGAACTCTTTGAATACTAGAACGTGAGGATTAGCTGCAGAGAGCACAAAATAGGAACAATCTTAATTACACATTCTTGTTTTATTCTTACTATCTCACCTTCTACCGAGCCAATTAGATCACTAATAGAATTAAAATTTATCCTAGAATAGTAACCATACATAACATCACGCCTTTTATCCCCGAAGGGCAGAGTTATACCACTGTATAATGTAACACCCCTTTTCACTATTTATGTTGTGAGTCCCATGTAATAGGGGGTGAGCCTATTGCCATATACCGGGCACAATTCCAGACTCGTTGCTACTACTGAGAGTATTTAAAAAACCCAGTAATACTTTGCCCGATCCGGGAATCGAACCCGAGACTCCTTGCCTGGCAGTCGCACTTACGACCACTCGGCCAACGAGGCAGTCTAGAATAGTAACCATTTTGCTAATATACAGCCAACTTCTAGCAGAGACTCTATTTATAAAGAGCACTACAGAAGCACATAATAAAAATTCAATCAAATACCATGTATTAAAGGCACTTGTTTGTCGCGAAGCAATAAAGCCATCGCGTCTGAAACCGTAGCAAATGAACTTTTTAATTACACTTCCTCCTCAATTTCGTTGGTCTTTCGTATTGACGTACAAAACAGGCAATGGAAATTGAATTTTGAGCAATTGGATATTTAAAAGAATTGAGGGGTGTTCAAATTCAGGTTCAAAGTATTGTTTATCTAAATTGATTATTTGGTATGCATTTGGAACAAAATCTAAATTTACATTGATATAATATTAAAACTGAATGTGTCGCATAGCAATACAAGTTTCTTAACGGATTTGTTATATGAAAAACAATATCATATGATTGGATTACAAACAACTTTGATTGTAACATAACATAACATCACGCCTTTTTATCCCCGAAGGGGTAGGCAGAGGTGCACATTACGGCACTTAATGCCACTGTACAATGTAACACCCACTTTTCACTATTTATGTTACGAGTCCCATGTAATAGGGGGTGAGCCTATTGCCATATACCGGGCTCATTTCCAGACTACGTGCTACTACTGAGATTTTTAAAAACCCAGTAATACTTTGCCCGACCAGGGAATCGAACCGGAGACCCCTTGCCCGGCAGTCGCACTTGCGACCACTCGACCAACGACGCAGTCTTTCAAACTTTGATTGTAATATGATAATTATACTTACTTGCTGTTTGTTTATTATAAAGAGCCTAGTGTTCTATGTTACTATATTATGCAGAGCCCACGGAGATCAATGTAATCATAGCGAGTGATTTCCTCTTACAAATTATCATCACTACATAGTATAAAACAAAGTCTATGTATGCTTGTGTCTGTCCCTATGTATGCTTAGATCTTTAAAACTCCGCAACGGATTTTGATGCGGTTTCTTTAAATAAGTGATTCTTAACTCGTCGAGTACCGTTTTTGTAGACACAATTATAGAACAATAGGTTGCGGTCACCGGTGACCGCTTGGTGTTTGACAGTTTAAGCAAAGTTTATATGTATAACACATGAATATATAATAATATAATTTAAAGATTGATATAGTTTGAAGAATAAATTATTCATAGCCTTGTAAAAAGTTTATTAAAGAAAATTATATAAGGTATGTTGGATTAATAACTACCTCAAATTTAAAACGATTTTAATAAATAATCATTGCCACTCCATGAGCGATTCAAGGTAGATTCCTACGTACCTTCTAAGAAACAAAGATGAAAATCTATCGTTTTTTATATTTAACATATTTCTTTGAGACTACATCTCTTAGCAACAGCAATTCTGAGAACACAACATAAGGTGATACGTACCTTACGTACCAATAATATTAAAAAATATTTCCACGCTTATACTTGCTTTTTCCTAGAATTAATTCTCGAGCATTCTTGTGTTCTTAAAGGTTGTATGTAGGATGATATTAAGCCGTGTTTTTTAAATAACGGTACGTACTTTTACTCATTTTTGTTGGAAATTTTTTTGTTCTAATTTAATTAAGGTCGATTTTATTACTATGGTATTAATTCTTATTTTCCCGATACGGTCTTGCAATAATAATAATAATAAATCATTTATTTAAAGTAACCAAGACTCACAAAATGTTAGTAAAACTTACATCTATGTTAGTATGTAATCACAATTGTTTTATAGTGCAATAAAAGTTTTATATTATTACATCCTACATTAATCCATGGGAAATGGCATTACATCGTCCCATGTATATGCAGTCCAGTCTGCAATGGCGACAAAGTTCAAAGTGTGATTGATATTTTCCTTTCTTTGTTGTTGTATAATGGAGATATTTTTAAGAATCTGATTTTAATGGGATAAGCTGGCAAACGAGCAATTGGCACCACCCATAGACACCAGAGTCGATACAGAGCGGTTGCTAGCCTGTAGGGGATTAGGAATTTTTAGATTTATTTGTGTAATTATTGTTAAAGGTTAAATAAAACAAACATTGACATATATATAATTTGTATTAAATCAACAATATCTTAGTCTTTACATTCTTTGGCATAGTCATTAGCTCGTTAGGTACAATTAACTATTTTTTTCATTTAAATTCACAATTTCATCCGACTTTATCGAATACATCTACCTATTTATAATTTATCAATTATTTTATAATTTATACAATTTTTATTTTATATTTATAATAATTTATTGTACCTAAGTATTGTTTGCCCAAACAATTATTTGCAGTAATAGTAAAAATTGGCACACTTGTAGGCTGCCTGCTGACCCCGGTGATGTAACTGTAACAATGATATGAAATAGGTTAACAAAAAATCAGGTCAGGTCATCAACAGCTTGCGACGTTTTTACAAACCACTATTGCACTAGGAGACTTTTCTGATCATGTTGACCATAATCTCTATAAAGATGGTTTGGAAATTGTACCGTTGTAGAGATCGATTGAACCAAATACGGTTTAATTTCGAAAACAAAGTTGACACCGTTAAAACGTATCTTTTAAAAACGCTCTGTTATTTCTCTTAATGTGGAAAATTCCTCTCTTGGAATTTGTACCCCAGTTAGTAGGTTCTTAAAGTATGATTTCATAGATGTAAGTACTGAGCAGTATCAAGGGTACCGTGTTCGTATTTCCATTCGTTTAACTCGTCGAGTACCGGTTTTGTAGACACAATTATAGAACAATAGGTTGCGGTCACCGGTGACCGCTTGGTGTTTGACAGTTTAATTTACAGCCTAAAGGTTTATGTACAATTTTTTTTTATAAACATTGCCCCACACTAGGATTTTCTCCTGTGTCGTGGGTGCAGTTTGCTTTTGCTATCCTTTTATTTATTTCCTATATAATATAATAGATAAGCGATTTGTATCCTGTATACGTAGTTTTTATGTACTAACTTTTTGCTCATTTCGATTCTTAATTTCGATTGCAACAATACTGGCTAATTGTAAAAACTCCACAAATTTAATGTTAAACAAAAATTGTCTATGAATCATAAACTTCACGTAAGTTCCAAGAATGTACAAAATTCATATAAGCATGCGTTAAAGCTTTCCAGTCCGCGTTTCCTGCAATAAACGCTCAACGTGTGCCAAAGATAAATTTATTATCTACCAACAAACGCCTCAGTGTTGCCCTCAGAGGAAATTGTCTGGGCAAATGAGACGGGAGGCAATAACTCATTGAGCCCTCAATGCCCTCTTTGGCAGTCTTTGGTTCTTGTAATCTTATTAGCCAAGCTTCCTCTTCACGGATATTAAAGATATGCGGGCGTGTTAGGTGTTGTGCCGTTTTTGGAATTCAATGTACCTACTTTGAGAATTTGCCATTTCCTGCTCAGAGTGGCGGTTCTCGGAAATTTTGTGGCTGATTCGAATTTTGATTGAGAGTTTTTCTCTTTTTAATGTTAATCTGCAGGTTCTATTGTTTTAAATTTATAGTAAGATCGTATAATATAATTAAATTTAGAGCTAGTTTGATTCTGAGGATTAAGTATTAATAGTATTGATATGCTTCACTCTAAGAGCATTTCTACAATTTCCGTATTTAAAATATGTTTAGATATTGTAGAATAGGTATTTAATAAATGAAATCTATATACTCTCATCAGCACATGCAAAAAAAAACAAAAGCCACAGATGGAGGGAGCGACGTGTAAGAACTCTTCACAATTAATATTAAAAAAACAGTAATTATAAGATGATCCCTTTACCAATATCAATTTTATAAATATTATTTGCAATCATCCTTCATCAGAAAATATAATTTCAAGAGGCCAAATATGTCGGCTCTTACCATCATATTCGTAACTATAAACGCTTCGTATAATGACAGGCCTTTAATGTGTTTACCGATATAATCGATTTCAATATGGAAGGTAATGGTCTAATTAAACCGTTTATACAATCGAGGAGAAACGCTTTGTACAATATATTGGTTTTGGAATATGACAACGTGATTTGTGATGTGGGCTCTTAGACTATTGTAGAGATGAAATGAAATATTGAGGATATTGGATTAGTGTTTAGTTAGGTTTGTAGTGGATTGAAGGATGTGTTAAAGTCAATTTATACAATTCAATTTCAATTCTTAGCCACCACAATAGCTAAGTAAGGGTCAAAACACATAACGGCGTTGCAGCATAGCAGAGTAAAATCTTCTTTCATAACAAATAAGCAATAAGTTTTTCCACGATGGTCCATGGCAGTGACACGTCTATCCACAATGAAAAATCACGACGAACTGGTTACCCTACCGAAGGACAATAAAACGCTCTTTTTCACGACGCCGCAACGCCGCAACGCAAACTGCCATATTTAGTTGTCATATGTGTTTCGGACCTAAAAGTGTATTATAAAGTTACAAGAACAAGATAGTAGAATAAGTACAAACAGGTGATCAAAACATTTAAGCTTTCTTCCCCATAGAAAATGTTCCAAACAGTACTTAGAACTCGCTACCATATGACGATGATACTCAGATTTAATAATACGCGAACATTATGGGCCGTCATGAAAATTGCAATTATGCTCGAAGGGAATCTACGAACAAGCCCTTCGTCAGAACATCGTAATGAATAAATTTCCTGAGAGCTGTTGGGTGCTTTACATAATTTCACATTATGAATCTACCCTTGAGATTACTGAAATCCAGAATCCTGTGAAAGGTGTAATTTTAGTTGCGGAAATTCATGCTGTTGCATGTTTGTTCATGTAATTGGAGTGAAAAAGTTTGGTTCTATATGCAGTTCAGATATAAAAGTCTCATTTTATTTGAGTAAAATTAATAATATAATAAGTAAAGTGGGACCTATTCGAAACGAACCTTGATTTTATAAAAGAAACGTTTAATGAACAACATAAAATACATATTATAAAGAGTAGTTTTTCAAATAACCAATCAAACGCAACTCACCTCTCTCAATTTTAGGGTGGCTATTCCCTGAATACAATGCAACAGCTGCATCATCTTTGTAAAGGTCTACGATCTTGGCTTGACAGCGCAGTATGGGAGCTCCACGTTCATAGTGGGCTGGCCACAGCTGTATACTGCTGTAAATCTCGGAACGGAAGAGTCCCTCCGGTGCTGGGTGGACTTGGTGAGCGTCTGCTTCATGCTAAAATAAAAAAACACATTATGTTTCACCAAACAATGTATGTTTGATTTACGTCTGATAAAATTTAGTCTTCAGGATACTAAAATATTTCTACTCGTTTAGATTCTCCTAGATTTCATTTTTAAAATATCATACTCAAGCATTCAGAATCATAAAATTTTGAATATGTAACGATAGAGAAGTTTTCTCCGTGAAAATTTCAGCATAAATACATGAATATCGACTCGAGAGATACTTTTGAATACACTAAATAATTCAACGAAGTTTTCTGTGCACCAGTACTCTCGCTTCGTTACAATGTCGATAAGCTTTATAACTTTATCGTGACTACGTCGGCTCCATACGTGGGTAACATTACGAAAATGATACAATATGAAAACACGGAACAACTTTTACTTTAACATATCAGCTTATCAAACGAAATAACGTAAGCACATGAGTCAAACAAACAAATCCGCACTGTGTGCATATTCATATAAAGTTAAAATTTCCATAATAGCGGCCAATGCAGATGTGATTAAATCTGGAGAGCCCTCGCGCCAGACGAAGCTGCTTAACGTAGGAAAATTGCAAATATCAACACAACAAACAATGAGTCAACAGTTGTTGTGTTCGCGCCGCAACGAATTCAAGCGACTGTTAACGGGTTGCTGACATTTGGGACTTTGTTCTGGCCGGGCCCGCTGTATGAGTTTTGTTAATGACCAAAACTTTTAACTTTATCCTCGGTTTGTATTCAAAGTCATAATTAATTGCATAACACAGATGTAAATATTTGGAGGAAGAATAGAATAGACGACGACAACATAAACTATTGCGCTGTAAATAATACTGTTTAGTATTGGGCAGAGATTGACACTTGTGTATTTATAAAAGAAATGCCTGTTGATAAAAGGTTTTGCTATTTCATAACTTAAAGTTTATAGATTGCTTTAATTGAATTTTACCCTTTAATGTATTTATAAAATTAGTCTGGTTATGTAGACAAAAGAGTTTCTGGAACATCCACAGACACCGTGTTGAAGAAGGTCACACAAGTAGTTGTATTTTGAATATTTGAGGGTGCGTCCACATCTGACGAAACGCAGCTTAGGAACCGCAACAGAGCGAGCTGCTCGTGTGTCGTCACGCCAATAGTTTAGTGCTCAACACATACAAGTTTAGTATAAATAATAATTTTAAATGAAAACGCGCAGCTCGCGGGCGACTCGCAAGCGCCTCGCGCCATATGTGGACACACACTTATAGTTCTAAGTATAGGCCTGTATAGACAATGTTTAACTAATTACAAGTATTATACAGCGTGTCTGTCTAATAAGATGATTCCGTATGTTTTCACAGACGAGAGAATTCATACAAGCAGCACAAAACAAATATTTTGTTTAAACAAATTTTATTCTGCCATAATGAGTTGTGGTGAGCAGTTTTAATATTTAATTCTATGATAATTGACTTCCTGGATAAAATATGTTTGTTCAGGTTTTTTGAAATATCATTATTGCTTTGGTCACATCTATTTTTGTTGGGACAAGCAATATGACTGTATATGTATGATGTTTTGATAGGTGTGACTGCCTCGTTGGCTTAGTATTCGCAAGTGCGACTGCCGGGCAAGGGGTCTCGGGTTCGATTCCCGGGTCGGGCAAAGTATTACTGGGTTTTTTAAAATTCTCAGTAGTAGCACGGAGTCTGAAAATGTGCCCGGTATATGGCAATAGGCTCACCCCCTATTACATGGGACTCATAACAACTAGTGAAAAGTGGGTGTTATTGTCTAACATATTTATATCAAAGTGTTAAGTTTGTGCTTTATTTTGTTTGTGGTTTTTACTATTCATAAAGATGTCTAGAAATTAAAAGAAGGAAACTTAATAGTGCTATTTTTACGCAAACTAAGAACTAAATTAAAGAGTATCGAGATCAAACTTGACACAGTGACAAAATTATCTCAAATAATTACAGACTCCATTCAAAATGGCGTCTCGGTAGATCACAAGAAATGATTCGGTGAAACTTTACCGAGACCCATCGCACCGTTTAAAATCTTCCACTAAAATCATAATATCGTCACTAAAATAGTTTGTTCAGTAGCGACCGAACAATAGCAAGCGACCGCGTCCCAGATACTGGAAATCTGAAATCTCAAAAGCATTCGCGGTGGGATCCTCGAAATGTGAAACTGTGAAGGCATTAAAACTTACCACTATAGAATTTGAGTTGGAACAACTGTAGCTTTCGCCAAGTTATTTTAAGTTAAAACTCTTGGAGGACGCTACTGGAAGCAGGAACGGATTTTGTAAACGGATTTGTGAGCTAGACGATGGGTTGCCAGCTTGTCTACTAGTAACAAGTTTGTCTAAAGTACCTTCGCAAACGTTTGACTTAAATAAGCCGAGCATTTTCCTTATTTGACTAGTTTAGAACTTATATTTCTCAGTTATATCTAAATGATCTGTAAATAGCGTGCCTTCAGTCTTCAAAAATAGTTTTTTAACTTAAAAATATTCACAAAACGTAAAATAGATCGAATAGAAATAGTCCATATTATTCTAATACTCAGACTACATCGTGTTTGAACTTTTAGGATCGTTTGAACTACCGATGCCAACACAATCCTAACCGTAACCTCAAAACATCCTTCATAAAGTATGCAGATATTGTGTTTGGATAAGGAGTTGTTTATAGCAATAAATTGGGTTCCAACGAAGCTATAAATACGGGACTGGATATTGCCAGGAATGTTTAGGATAAAGCATTTGTGGTAGTATCTCCAGTCTTGGCTGAACCCGCAAATTTCCGGCCTCGATGCCTAAATCTATTAAACGAGACATAGAAGGTTGCTAGTGATCTCGATTTGTAATATTGGTAAGCTAGTCCGTTTTTCAGAACCTTCTATGTGGGTTTGGGTCAGTTGATTCTTTGGCAGTTGAACGTACATGGTGCTACTGCGTAACCCATTAAGGGTGATACGATTTTTTCGAGCCTCTGTCTAACTTTTAGGCTTCTAAGCACCCGGGACAATGAATGGGTGAAACCAGAAACGATGGTAGTATGTGCATCGACTCTTAGGTACGTTTGTAAAGTTTTGATATCGTGATGCGTGGAATGTTTTGTCAGTCCATAGATTGACTAATGTACTTTTAAGTTATTTCAAATCAGCCATTGTAATTTTGTTTAAGAAATCGGAATCTTTTAATGCATCATTTTTCTTAACTATTCATATTATTTATTATATTCTTAAATTCAATTAGTTGGGACTTTAAATTTATTTAGTGAAATCGATATATTCGATTTCTGATTGCGAACTTTAAAACTAAATAATATTAGTTTATTAATTAAACTTTCTGTCCTTTAGAGTTCTAAAGTTGACTCTCACCGATATTTACTACATAAATACATACTATACAATGAGAGCTTTGACTTATCGTGACTAACTTACACTAATGTAGATAGTCATATTATCATTAAATATAACCATTACTACTGTCTAAACTAGAATTAATCAACCGAAGATACGAACCAGTCTGTATAAATAAATAATAGTTTATAATAGGTAATAATATTATAAAGCTTTTACCGTAAAAAGGCAGTTCCATAGTCGACACTTCTCCTGAATACCTCTTCGAAATCGATTTCCTATGCCTTAGAACGATTTATTTTGTTACTATACAAAACTTTTCACTGGCGGACGGAACACTTTTTCTAAAAGGGAAACTCGTGCCTTTAGATCAATTTATATCACTTAGCGCCCCCGTCCTCATCTATTTTGAGGAGTTCAGGGTCATAGCAATATCCTCGTATTATTCTCTCACTCACGTACTCGTTTGGTAGACAATATTTACTCATCCTTTTGGCTATATTGCCAGGTTCAAACGCAATCCTATGCAAATTTAGGATTGAAAAGGGTTATTCCTCGCAAATAAATTCTGGATATCAAACGTTTCGATTCCTAGATTAAAATGGATTGTCAATAAACTTAGACTGGAGAAAATGCAAATATCTTGTCAAGGTGAACTCTAGAACAAGGAACGGAAATAATTTTATTCAGTAATGATTTTAAGAGGAAATGTTGTAAAATGAAAACGAATACTCCTTCTTGTTAACAGACCAAACAGAATCAGATATTGAAACATAATATTTATACATACTTTGGCTACCTTTCTTTCCATATTTTTATATTTAGAATATTTTGTACTATGAGCAGCGCAGAAAAATGCATTTTTTTATATTTGTATATTTGGCTGATAGACGCCGACGTTTGTACAGTCGGTAAAGAAAATGTACACGTTGAAAATCAAAATAATTCTCTTACTATACTTACAGGTATGTCATTGAGTAAGAACACGAGGTCGGCTGGTGGTCGACTTGGTCCTGACGTGCAGTTGGCGTGGAGCACGTCGCCTGGGCCGTAGTAGTGCTTGTCCGTCTGTATTACCGGCAAAGATGGCGGGAGAGCTGGACAGAAGAGTTTCAGGTTAAATCACATTATTAATGAAGAACAATACTGATAATAATGACAGAAATATGCATTATCAGAAAATGCTTGTTTTTGACATTTTTTTTGTAAATTGAGTTTTACACATTTATACCTATAAACCAGAAGACTTTCCTACTTAAAAGTAATGTATGCATTTTTAGCCTTATGTAGAATAATAAATAAATTACTTCCCAGAGTGTAAGGTTTATGCGTTAAATTATGAACTTTGTGTTTTCATAATTTTCTGAATTCTAAGAATTTCACAATTTTTATCTTCAAAGAAGATAATATGGATAAAACTTTTAGCTTTCCTCGAAAAAAAAATACAAACTTTTATATTTTTAAACAAAAAGCAGAATGAACTAAGCAAATTGCTTTCGTACCATAACATTAACATTATACTAACATACCTTTTATTCTTCGAAGGTGTTGGCCTTTCTTACTCATTATATTAAGTGTTTCATGTAGTATGAATATTTCTACTGTCATAAATTTGTAGTCTTAGTAATTACTAACCATTTTTCGAAAACAACGTTGGCTCAAGGATCGAACCTTGAGGAACACCTTCTTATTAAAACAATCCAATAGAATTATTCTCAATCTTATTTAATGACAATAAAATTCATGTTTACTTACCAACTACCTCCATAGTGTTAGAAACTATAGAGGTGGCGAAGGAAGGCGCGTCTGCTGTTACCTCGCAGCTGAAGTTACCGGATAGACCGAAACTGACCCTGGTTAGCACCACTTGACTCTGATTGGACCTCGCCAACTATTGAATAAAGATATAAAATAAGATAAATAACATGGACAAGACTACGTAAAATCACATCCTAAACTAGTATAGGATAATTTATTTAGAGTGAAATTTCTTTTTACTGTTCACTCGGAATGAGGAACTTAAGGAATGCTAATATGTAGTATAAGCATTTTGTTTGATTGAAAGTTTTTGAGTAATCCATAATAACTTGTTATACCAAGTCCAAGTGTGATGTATTACATACGTTCTATAAGTAAGTGTATAAATATTGTAGATTCCGTAGAATAAAGCAATTTCACTTCCTAACAGAAACTTTTTACAAACCACATACCATCAATCTTTCGTTAGAATTGCTGTCAAATTTTCTTTACACAAAAGCGACCTTAATTCCTTACCTACAAAAGAAAGTTTCAGAAAAAAGGGGGTTCGGAAAGCAAACATTTAATTATCCTTACAAATTAACGTCGTTTGTCTCAGTAGCAAGTTAACAACCTACTTTAATCTAATTCAGACCCAGATTGAGTCCAGATTCGAGGCAATTAATTCTTATTCTAGATTTTTTGTAGTATTTTCTAGGTTTAGCAAATAGTGATCTATGTAACAATGGTATATGTGGGTCAATGTTTATTAAGCAATTTTGGTTCGCTTCTAAGCTATAATTTAGATATCAATTTGTTTTATTTGTTGCTTTTTATTAAGACTGTTGAAAAATATTACTTTGTTTTGCCACTTATGGATCACAGTAAAAATCTTTAATACAATTTCTGTTTCACATTGTTTTTGGGATTTATTCGTTCAACATAATTTATTACAATATTTAAAGTTTATTTAAATGCTTTTATTAGTATTCAAATCTGTGTACTGACCGGAAAATGTGCAACAAAAGAAAATTATTGTATACATTTATTTATCATATTGATGATAAATTTAAGCTCATTCATTAACAGAACAAATTATTGACCAAAATTACTAAATTAACATAACATGTAAACTGCTAAATATGCATTATTCTAGGTGAATTTCTCCATAAATTATTCGAATTAAAACTGACAGATTTTGCGTGCAATTTGAAGGCGAGTGATGCCAAAGCCTGATACACAATAAGCATGATCTATATTCTCATTTCGTCGATCAATTCCTCATTGGGGCGCGTATTGTGTTGTAAAAAGAAACGAGTGTCGTTTTAGGCTGAACGTCGGGAAGAAAACTGGGATATAAACGAAACAAAACGGGCCATAGGGTTATTATCGCCGCGAGACTGCGAAATAAGAGGCAGTGATAAAGGGTTGGATTTATGAACACGTGCCGCATAGGCGACGAGGAGGAATGGCTCTCTCCTAAGGAAAAAATGTACAAACCGTTGCTCGGGACATAGGAATAAAGCATGTGAAAATTGCTCGGATTTCCCTTCATAGAGCGAAGTGAATGGCAGATTGTTTTTTTAGGGTTGACGCGAAGAAATGGGAAGCAGCTGCTACTAAAATTAACTGTTGGAATTGTCTGGGGTTTATTTTGTATGAAATAATAACATATTTCTTTTTTTGAGCCAGTTGTTCTTGTGTGCTGACAGCGGGGGATCTCCAATAGTGACTGAGAAGGTTTATTTTCTTTTTATGTTTATGTTTAGTGCTCGCATATGGAAGATAGGGCTGCTTACAATATTTTGACTCAACATTAGGATGTATTTTAAACTGTTGTTGGAATAAAGAGGGAACAATCTATTTTCAATTCTTTGGACAATAAATCGTGTATTGGTAAATTGTCCCTTCTTCTGCAAAAATCTAACTATTTTACCGAATGAAAATAATTTGGTATATAAATTAAAATTGCTGCTTATTCCACTGCAAATATTCCATATCAAAGCATTGTAATTTGTAGTTGACAAACAGGCAACAATTTTAAACAATTTAGACAATACTTACGGCCGGCAAAAAGCGGATTACTTTTCTACAATTTCAGTCTAAATAAACCAAACAATTAGCATCGAGCTTCGCAAATAAATAATGGACCGGCCTAAGCCTGTCTGATCTAACTTGAATAATTAATCACCAAATACCTTTTGTTTGGCTTCGGCGTCCTCGAAAATCGTGAACAATTTTTTTTGTCAAGCCTTCAAAGTATATCCTTTAAAAGTCAGTCATTTCGATCCTTAATTAAAATTAATAATGTTTGATATTATATATATTTATTTGTATTATTAAAACCATTCAACGGTCTGTGTTTGTCAAACTTTATGAATAGAAACTGTCTAAAACAAAACAGATCGGTGTTGCCATTTGTTACAGGAATATAGACATTATTTACTTACATTTCCTCGTTGAATTAATTAAATTCCTAGTTATCTAATCCTTTATTTTAATGGGATGTTTGTAAGTGACAGGAATATAGCGTTCAGACTTGGAATATTTTGTACAGATTTCTTTGAAGTCTATAAAAAAAGGTCGTATTAGTTACACTACTTTTAACTCAATGACAAAATCGATTTTACTGAAAATTGATGAAGAGATAAAAACCAGACGATGGACATAGAATTTTCCGAAAGTCATACGACAACAGAAAATTGCGCGCAGAAGCTAGTTGGAGATAAAAAAGGTTGAAGTATATTTTAATTCAATCACCTATAGATACTACTAAGTTTCAAGTATTTTATAAGATGTTATCTGAAGTCGATTGTAAACTTTCAGTTATTGAGAAAATTAGAGGGTACTCTATTACTTCACAGTTTTATTATTTTTTTATTACTTTGAGTTATCAAAACCACTATCTTAAACAATTAAATTATATAAAGATATTTAGGTAGGACATTTTACATTGCATTTTTTTAAGGGCGGAATATCATCGATTGTCTGCTCCCGCCTGGGTGAGGCGAGAGGGAGTGTCAGACTCTCACTAACTAAAAACCACCCCGTTCCTTCTCCTGCACGTCGAGCCGCTGCCCCGGTAGCCCGAGTAACCCGGAGCCCCGGTAAAGAACCTAACGGTTCTCCGCGATATTTTACATTGCATAGCGTTAACTCTTCGTCTTTGCCAAAGGAACTAAAATATAACTTACGATAGATGTGATAGATATCACTATATAGTTTAGTGAAAAGTAAATATACTAGAACTGTTTCCCAATAACTTAACTATCAGCAGATTTTCTTGCTAAAGATAGTGTTAAATTTCTAGCAAGCAAATATAATATAAAAAATATATGGGTTATTAAAACTGGTCATATGTAATTGTTTTGAGACTAGCCTACATTATTTTAATTAAAGGAACGAATCAACATTATTCTTTATTTCCAATCATCATTTAAAAATTAATAATTCAACCTATTCTACAAATCCCATTCTAAAAACTATTCCATCCTTTTGTAAATCGAGGCATCGGTCAGACAACACAAAGCAATGCCGCTCCAACGCCTCTGAACAATTTTCTATAATACATTATAATTGTTATCTCTCCCTTTGTTAGACACAAGCATTTAGATTAAACTGTTTAATTGAATTTTCTAATTATATATGTATAGTTTCGCCATTTTGGTTTTATAATTGAGAGGCTGAGGCAGTTAGTAGAGGTTTTCTCTATTATTATTTCCTGAATTATTAGAAGGATGTTTACCGGCCGTTTAGTTACTTGTGCATATAAATACAAAATGTTTTTATAGTAACTATCGTGAGACATACTAAATTAACTAAAATCACGGGTTACTCACGTGAATAATGTTTCGGACCACAGAGGGGTTCTTCCTCAGCAGCAGCGTGCGCGGTCGCGGCGACGTCGCGCAGCTCGCTGTGAGATTGACGATGACGTTGACGATGACGATGTCATAAGAAAGAACCCCTCTGTGGTTCGAAACTGGAGCTTTTCTCAGTAAATTCACGTGAGTAACCCGTGATTTTAGTTAACATATAAAATTAATTATTATGTTTTCGGCTTAGGTACATGAATAGCAATCCGCGACACGCAACGAGGTGACTGTCACGCTGCTACTCAATGAATATGAGCCCCTAGTATGGCTTGAAACTAGTCGAGTTCACATAAAAAATAATAATAATTAATTGTGTAGTTTTCGATCACATATTGACTTGCAAAATGAACACCACGATTTTGTACAACTCATCTGTTGCTAACTTAGCAACAAGAAAATATGGGTCGAATCCAATATTAGATGATATTTTATGAAAAAAGGTTGTAGCTGTATAAATTCCTAGTTTTTCATAATCAAAAGTAAAGCTATCTATTGTAAAGCGTTTGAAACAGTTCTTTAACACCTACTTGAAGTTATAAATATTAGTAACTGAAATAAATAGGAGAAATACTTTTGTAAGACTCTTCGAAGACAACTAGGAATGATTGCCCTATGGTTTGCCGTAGGTTATAGGTTGTTCTTACAACAAAACTGACGAACATGAGATAATAGTCCGCATTTCCTCTTCATGTATCTTTCTCAGTTCTTTTTACAATGTCATTTCATGTGGTATTCTAAGAGCGAGGTCTACTATTCAAGTAGACTTCTCATTTAAGTAGTTCCACCATAACATCGTCATCACGCCAAGGGTAAGCAGAGTTGCAGATTACGGGACTTAATGCCATTGTATAACGTAACACTCACTTTTCACTGTGTATGTAATGAGTTCCATGCAATAGGGATTAGCCTGTTTCTTTATACCGGACCCAATTTTCACTTTTTTAAAACTAGCGCGATGTAAATAGAAAAACTTGTTAGTTGTTCTGTATTTCTTTGAGGCCATAAAAGCTATTAACCCGTATATCCGGGCACCGGTGACCGCTCTCCACTATATATATTATAGACCTTATTTCCAATGTTTAGTGACTACTTTTTATGAACAAATTTAGGGCATGATTTACAACAATTTTCAACGGGTTAAGTTCGGAATATTAAGTAGGTACCTATCTAGAAATATCTAACACTCTCAAACTTACATTTAAGCTAATCACAACGCGAATAACCGCCAAACACAATTACATAGAACACACAGTCCTTTATACTCAACCACTTTCTTTAGTTTCAAACAAGTCTTTCCTTGACTACTAAAAGCTTAGTTTGTCGAAATCAAATGAATTTGAAATGTGTTCCTTAGTATATAAATTACAGTTTCCTAGAAGTGGTACTCAACCACTTATGACGTTTTAGTATTAAGATCTAGGTGCTTGAGATTGAAACAATATGGAGTGGGTAGTATAATATGAGAGCTCAGTGTTTGCGGCAGTTCAAATGAATTAGGATTTAGGTAAATGAAATATTATATGTTGTATTTCATGTAGTATGTGTTTATTGTTATATGTCTTACTAGATTTTCCACTTTACTTAGATCGTTCAATGAGTGTGTATACCTTAATTAGAATAGACTGATTGAGTTAATCCTTAATGTGTGTCTGATGAGTTGTTCTAATACCAATTCAAAGTGCAAGCAAGACGAGCTTATTAACATTTACGAAAAGACAAATACAGAGTCAGAATTAAGAAGAATCTGATTAAAATGTTTAACCAAAAATCTAGTCACAACATAACATCACGCCTCTTATCCCCGAAGGGGTAGGCAGAGGTGCACATTATGCCACTGTATAATGTAACACCCACTTTTCACTATTTATGTTATGAGTCCCATGTAATAGGGGTGAGCCTATTGCCATATACCGGGCACAATTCCAGACTCCGTGCTACTACCGAGATTTATTTACAAACCCAGTAATACTTTGCCCGACCCGGGAATCGAACCCGAGACCCCTTGCCCGGCAGTCGCACTTGCGACCACTCGGCCAATGAGGCAGTCAAAATCTAGTCACAGTCGATCACTATTTCATTTAATGGGACAAGCCCGCCACAACCTCCCAAAAATCTAGTCACAGTCGATCACTAGTTTGTTCCCGTCACCACAAGAACAAGTATACAATCAACCAATACCAGTTAAGCTACCATAAAATAAAAATGTTCTTTAAATATTCCCGACCTAAAAAACATGAGATACAAAGCTAAAACAAAACCACATTTACTTCATCAAACTACAAGCAATACATTGTCGAGCTCGCCTTTTCACCAAACTTTTACAACCAACCATTATTCATAAAGTCAACGAGTAAAAAATAATTCCATCTCATAAACAAAAGGGCCCATTGTTAATACTTTAAAAGAATAACTCGACTCGAGCACAACAGAACGGGCGGATTACAAAATTATTTAACCGCGAACATTTCAGAGATTTTAACAGCGACTCAACACGTTTCTCTTCCGCTAAACTGAGCCAGTATATTAACCAAATTCCACACCATAAAATACATTGTTTCAACAGCTCAACAGGTAAAAATAATTGCTGAGAAGTTTCTGCGACGACAAGAATTATGACTGGTGAAACCGTTATGTTTGATATTCCACATTTTTCTTATGACGGCACTTGGTGCCTAAGATTCGCATATTTTTCCGCAGAGTTTTTACATTAGACGTTATAAATCTGTTTTGTGGAATGAAGTTCTGAGATGGTGTACTGCGCGCGATGCTAATGCGAGTTTGATGCGAATTATACAAATCTTTGTATTGATTATAGAACAAGACGTACCTATTGTTTTATACATGATTTAGTAAAGTGTGATGACGTGTTTGTATAGCTTGTTACCTACTTTAAAACAATAAATTGCTGGAGAAGAATAATGATTTATTGAATCATGAAAGTAAATTATGATACAGAATACGATTCTATTTATAATCATACTTTGACAGTCTCAGTAAACGTCTTCCCAAATACCAAATACAATTCACAGTTGAATGCCAAACCAACATTGATAACTAATCGTTCAAAATATGTCTTTCCAACCGCTACACACAAAAATTTAAATTCAAAATTATTCAAGCATCTTTGCAAAACTAAAATCCACAAGAAATAAGCTGGAATACACGCAATATTTTCCTATCACTTCCAAATCATTTGACGTTCACATCGAACTTGGCACTGGCCCCAAACATTTAGAAATCCTTTCCAAGTCCGTTGCTATATCGCAATTCTCTATGTATATCTCATACTTTACTTTATAGCCTAAGAGTTACTGTACCATTTGAATAAAGTTCGTCTTCTAACGCTAGAAATTAGTAAGATTATAATTCATTACACGCTAATCTCAATGCCGCCAATACGGTATATTCTGAGTGTCATTAGCTAGTATGCACTGACCGTTGAGTGCGTGAAAAGATCATAAAATACGAGACCCTGATAAATTTGATTATTAAAAAAGATGATGAGCAAGGCTGATGACTGTCCGGTCGTGACTGTTAGCGATAACTTGCTATAAATCATCATCTTACAAATTTCTAGCCATTGAGAACGAACTTTATTTCGAGGGATCAGTGCCTCTTAGACTATTACTTGCATTTACATGACATGAGCACTCGTCTGACAGTTTTGAGAAGACAAATCGTGTATGAGTTTCCATGAAAGAGTTAGCTTAAAAGCCCGTTTAGAATCTTTATTGCTGGATTTAATATGTGGAACAGTTTATGCGTGAAGGTGATGGATGGAGTAGCTTATGTAGAGGTAATGTGCGTGAGGTTTCTTATTTATCTACTAGGGTAGCATATTTTTGAAGCGTTTCATTGGTTGGTGGATTTTGTGAGGGCTTCAAGTTTTGGTATGTTTTTGGCTCGATATTTCATATTTATACATGTATGCAGATTTAAAGAAAAAGAGTACTTGCTCAATGTAAATTGCTCGTCTATGCAGGCCTCACGTCTCAGTTATATTTTACCTACGAAATGTCTTTTTATTATGTTAAGGCTATGAAAATGTAAACTAATTTATTTATTTGTCCTCAGTATGTCACTAACAAATAAAATTTGCGTCTCAAAAGACCAATCTATCTAGTCATACAATCCACACTTTCAAACTTACAAATTCTAAAGCAAATATGACTATTCCAAACGCAGAATCACTTTTTACGTCAAAAAATATCTGAATTACTTGCGACCTTTCGTTCGTACTTGACATGATTTCAGATATTATTGACATAGGGCTTCTTTGTGATGTCTCAGCTGAACTTAATAACACTTTTATGTCAATAGTTGGCTCCGAAATTATGTCTGCTTTGACGCCGAATAAATACGAACATATTTACATCGATCGAATTGAAGAAAAATTTGGAAATTTTCGCGCAGGTATTGCGTATAACGTTGGATCATTTGGCCATTGAGGTGTTATGAAATACTGTATTACAGTTAAGCCTACAAAAATACGTGTGATAATAATGCTGGGATTTCATAACAGAAGATTGTGTTTGTTTTTATTTTCGAAGTTCTAGATTGTGTATGGTGTATGTTGGTGAGAACCGAATCTAAGTTTTGAAAATAAACTGACATGTTTTTGAGAAGATTTTTATATATGTTTGCAAATAATGTTATGAATTCGTTTGTTAACGCATTACCTAGTAGACGAGATACTAAAATAATATGAGTATTTTTCTTTGACACTTTTAACTCGTTCAGTACCGTCATTATAGACACAATTAAGGAACAATAGGTTGCGGTCACCGGTGACCGCGCGGTGTTTGACAGTTTAAACCTAACATGGCAGTAAATACATATACCTCTAAATTAGTTATCCAAATATCTCAGACAATAAATATTTTCACCCGAAGATAGTAGAATGAGCACAATAATATGATAATAAAATTCTGATGATCTGCGACATTTTTATGATCAAATTGCATTATAAATTTAATGTCGATCGGCAAACACGAGACGTCTTTTGCGTCGAATTTTTATGATACGTACGATAAGTATTTGTTTTATTTGATCATTTTTACTTCAATAATAGCTTCGATATTTTATTGGTAGATGACATTTATGTCTGAATAGAACTATCAAGATATAAATTTTTAATGTGGTCTTTAATTTTAATTTATGAACTTTTAAGAATCTTCTATAACTGAATAGATATACGTAGATTTCCTCTTGTGACGTGGGTGTTTCACTACAAAATGTGAATCTTACAAAAATCTTTATTTTACCGAAATAGAACCAATGGCACTAAGTAAAAGCAATTAACATAACATAACATAACCTTTTATCCCCGAAGGGGTAGACAGAGGTGTGCATTATGCCACTGTACAATGTAATGCACCCACTTTTCACTATTTATGTTATGAGTCCCATGTAATAGAGGGTGAGCCTATTGCCATATACCGGGCACAATTCCAGACTTCGTGCTACTACTAAGAATTTATAAAACCCAGTAGTACTTTGCCCGACCCGGGAATCGAACCCGAGACCCCTTGACCGGCAGTCGCACTTGCGACCACTCGGCCAATGAGGTAGTAAAAGCAATTGGTAGGTCAATTACTGCTGTATGCATGGAATTAAATTCAAAAGTATAAAATTGAGATTTAAGCAAGTACTTACATCAACATTGATTCCAGCGAAGGGAAATATCTTCGTAGTAGGATTCTCTGTGGGAGAGTAGCGGTAGAACTCGTGGCGCCCTCTATACCACTTCACGGAGTATAGGGGCGCGTCTGTCAGCTCGTACAGACATGCTAGAGTCGTGTCGTTCCCTCTCTGCACCACTGGAGGGGATATCCGAAGATCTGTTGCTCGAAGACCTCCTACAGCTGTCAAACAAAATGTGCTGTTAAAATTGTGATCGGTTTCCTTAATAGTTTTATTATTTGATTTTAAATGTTTTAAAATTGTGAAGCTTGGCATTTTATAACTATTTCTATTGGTATCTAATAATATTTAGATACCCGTCCTAGTTTTTAAAGAAGGTATGAAAGTTTAGGGATCAGAGATCACACATGACCTTGAATGTAGTACAATTAATTTTGATTCAAAGATGTTTTATTAATTTCATTTCAAACTTCAGTTCCCATTCTTCCACGAACCATAAGCATAAATGTCAGATCATTAAAGCACATTTGACCTCAATCATTCTCCAACACGTGAATCAGTAATTGAATATGCGGCAACTAACATTTTCGAATATACGTATTTTCTTCGAAAATCCTGGATCAGATTATATTCTGAGCCCGGCAGCGAAGCCACGTACCGCATTGCATCAACAAAGCTACAAGGTCAATCTAACTTTGGTAAAATTTGAGGATTTTCGTAAAATGTGTCTAATGCTAAAATCATACCGTTCAGATCACCTTATCAGATAAACTATTTATAACTAACTATAATGGCGCCTCCTGTCCCTACTCACAAGTACATAATATCGCATGACAGATCTAGAATCGAGGTAAATCATTTTAAAAAGACTGAATTATCGACATAAGAGACTGGCAGAATACCCCATTACTTTTAACTAACTACGGCTCGACCGGAGTGATACCACGGCCTCACAGAAACCCGACGTGAAGCAATGCTTGCGTTGTATTTCGTCGTGTGAGTGAAGTTACAGGAGGCCCAATTATCCTCCCCTTCCTCAATCTCACCGATTCCTGAATCCCCAACGATCTTCAAACTCCTAATCCCGAAAAGAACGGTAACGCACTTGTAACGCCTCTGGTGCTCCAGGTGTCCATGGGCAACGCCGGTTGCTTACCATTAGGTGATCCGTCAGCTCGTTAGCCGGCTTGTGCCATAAAAATAAAACTATTATCTAAAAGAGAAGTTTGTCTTTTCTTTGGGTTGTCGGCATAATTTTTTCATCAAAACTATTCCCAAGATCCGCAAAATACTTCACAACATATCAATATTATTCTCCATCACCATAATTGGCTTCATACGGGTAATATATTATGCCTGCATTGTTATCTCATTTCATATCCTTACCATAGAGCTCAACTCTAAACATGAGCTCTCCCCGAGGGCTCCAGCTACTAGTGTATTGTTATTTAACCGACTTGGCAGGTAGATTGATGATGCACCGTGGTGTAGTATAAAATGTTGAATTATAATTGATATTGTTTTATTTTGTTTCATTATTTTGTTTAGAAATTTTACTTGTGCTTTGTTAGCAAAGTATGCAAAAAAATATTTTAATCATAGTACTGTATCTACATTGCATTTGATGACAGTGTGTTCTCTTTCTGTTCTCAGATTTTAGAAGTAGTTTTTTAGATTTATTTGATTGTTAATTTTATAACTTAAAAGTCGTGTATTTTGCCAGTAAATTATTTTATTTTTTATTTATCGTTGAATATGGTTTCAAGGTCAAATTGGAAGGTTCAGGAAAATAATGACCAGAAGTAAAAATTTGAAGTACCTAAGTCCACGTAAACTCCCTTGCGAAAAGTAAAACATTTAGGCCAACATCAAAACCAAATAGCTACTTATCCATCATCTGCAGTCGTAAGCCAACTTTTACGAGAGCATAATTCTTCGGAAGAAACCTGCCAATGATGTTTGGTCAGCCATCAAAGAAAAACAAAGGATATCAGCTATTTGTCTTCCGGCTCAAGTTTTAAGAGCTCACGGGAAGAAAATCAATGGTGTTTGTTTTAGTAAAGTTGCAGAAGAACTTAGATGACCCAACTAAGAAGAACCCGGTTGAAGTATTTTCGGAAGTTTTCAACTTGTTCCTCACAAGTAAAGAAATTTAATACTATAGAAAGTAATAACTGCATTGCAGGATGCTTTAGTTGTGACTGTTTGACTTGTCAGCATGAAGTTATTGCTTTTACTTCATATTTAGTTTTAGTTTTCGTCACTTGTAGATTTGCCGTTTACTTTCCTCTTTAGGTCGTCTACTGATATTAAGAGTACCTATCAGGTTTTAAGTCAAACATTTTCATATTCGATAACATAATATGTACTTTTCAACCAACTTCTAAAAGAAGGAGGAAGTTCACAATTCGACTGTTATTTTTGTTTTTGTGTTTATTGCTTGATTTTAATTAAAATAACCACCTAGTTGATTGTAAGCACTAGAACAAAGAAGCAGTATTTTATTTAAACTTCGATTTCAAAAGTATCGTATAAAGTCTTGTTGAAATAAATATGGATTTAATTAACAAAATATATTTAGTAGTATTTTATTATGTAAATGATAATAAGAGAAATAAATAAATATTATGATTATAATTTTGTAGTAGATAATTTGTGACAATCTAATTTGTACGGTACGATAAGATAGATAAGTTGTGACAACCTACGGTAAAAGAGTTCATTCTTCCATGCCGCATCGGATATTATATCCTTCTTGTTTCCTAACTACTTACTAGAGCTCAAAACAAAAAAAGAAATAATTCTAAGATGACCTACCGTCATTGAATTTCCTAAATTCTCACCATTTTACCCTTCCTGGGGTCACAGGTGTGTCGCTACCCCTTCCATTTTCCTACCAACCCCTTTGTGTTTCACATCACATTTTTATGATTCCACCTTTGTAACCCATTGTCTGTTACGGTCAAAAGAGTTTTAATAATACGCGTTTTGTATTTTTTTTTTTGAGATGTAAAGCTAGGAAGAATTTTTGATATCTGTACGAGTGTCGGGATTTGAGAATCTCGTCATTCGTTATATAGGGACTGATGTTGTGTTATTGTTTTTTTATACGGTTTGTTGTTATTGTGAAGCTTTTTTGTAACGTTGAGTAAGAGTATGATTGTTGTAACCATAGATATAGCATATATAGCATTTTAATATGTCTTTGGTTATGTCAGTGCAAATATATATAAAGGTATATTAGTTATGTACTTTTGAACTGCATATGAATAAACACATTTTAATTAACCGAATTAAAGAAAAAGGAGGTTACTATAGTCAGAATTTTAATTAGATTCCAGATTTAACAATAGCTACTGTCATTTTGTGAAATAATAATACCACATATAATAGTGTAGTGATGAACACAAAAATCGATAAACAATCAGTGTTTGTGTTTTCAAACAAACAAACAAACAAACAAACAAACAAACAAACAAACAAACAAACAAACAAACAATAATAAATGTTACAGAAAGTGACAGGATAGCGATAGCGATGACGGCGACAATTTATAAAATAACTTATTACCATAATACATCTATCTGTTTTATTTCTCATGTTACTTCATGATTACATTTTTTTTATTTATTTCATACACAATTATAAAAGAAAAGTCTCATATCGTTAATTAATCGTCAAAACTAAATTATCGGTTCAGACTAATTTAATTTCCTGATTAATTGAAACTAAGTATTAGTTTACGAGAGTAAAATTATAATCGAGAAGAATCGATCCAGAAATATTGCATTTCCATATCGAATAATTTCGCAACGTCACTATTTAGTATTTGTCATAACGTTGCAACACTGAAATTGTCAAATCTGGAATCGAATTATAATTCCGAGTATAGTTTGATTTATTTATTCGTTTGTTTGTATGTATGTTTATGCGCGATTATTGCACAATTTGATGTGGTTTTCAGAAAAGTATTTGTTATATTTAGAAGAAGGTTTAAGTGTATTAATTTACCGACTTCAAAAAGTCGGCGTTGAAGTAATAGTGGTCAAACGTCAGTCCCATCTAATATATAAAAAAAACATTTTTTTAAATACACGTAGGTTATAAATTGATTTCTATACTTTTTAAAGACGAAAAGTTTGTGTACCTATATTGCCAATTTAGAATTAATATTTTTGTTTTAATTCTGAATAATTACTATGTATGTCTATGCTAAAGTCAAAAAATACTTATACTTACCAAGTATAAAATGATTATGACCAATCAATTCATATACGACGTAAATTAACACATACTTCAGTTATAAATATGTACAACACACCTCAGCTAACGCAAAACATAAAAATACATAAAAATATTTTGTGACAAAATATCCAGATACCTTGACATCATTAAAAAATTAGAAAGACGCAAATATACCCAAAAGTAACGCCAAGGAAGCAGCAAAAAAACAGTATATAGGTCAATTATACGTCTTTGATTCGTCTTTTTCCTCGTTCGTTGCTAAGGAATATTATCTTAATGTTCTTATTAAGGGATGTCATAATCATTTCTTATACAAAGTGATCGGTTTTGTCTATTTCTCGATACTTCTCTCCAATGTTTGTTATTTGATGGTTTTTGTCGTTGACTGCTAATGAATATGGAAAGGACACTTTGGTTTGCTCTTAAGAGATTTTTGTGAATCTCATTGATGTTTATAGGGTTTGATTTTGTTTAGTATTTGTCGACTAAGTCTGTTAGGTCGACTGTCAGGCAAAGGGTCTCCGGCCGGGCAAAGTAATACTGGATTTAAAAAAAATCTCAGTAGTAGCACAGAGTCTGGAATCCTGCCCAGTATATGGCTATAGGCTCACTTACCTATTACAAGGGATTCTTAACATAAATACTGAAAAGTGGGTGTTACATTGTACAGTGGCATAATGTGCACCTCTACCTATCTCTTCGGAGATAAAAGGCGTGAGTGATTGTGATGGGAGAAGGTAATGTAACACTGTCTGTAGTTTTAGAGTCTATTACGTTATTACTTAGAATGTTGGTCAAACTCAACAAAATAATTTGTTTAACTGAAAAGACGTGACCAGAGGGCTGGTCTTTTTCTCGGTCAGAGGTTGACCATTGCCATACAACGTGGCAATGCTGCCAGCCTTCTGGGTACTTTCCCCACTGACGTCGATGCGGACAAATTTTTCGATGCTTTATGTAAATAGTTACTGAAAAGTGAAAACCTGGCATTCATTCTTGGAAACCTAACTTAGCAACTTAAACAACGATCTGTTCTAGTAATAAATTCAAAACATTAAACAAGAATAAAATTTAAATCCCAGACAGAACGTAAACTAGAAAATTATTTATGCGATTTTTGACGGAGAATTTATGTCTAAACTAATAGTCCTTATCGTGCTAACTTTGAGGCAGATATTGCCTAACTTATCTGCAAGTTAGCGGTTCCTAACGCAAAATAGAGTAGTAAACAAGTTTGGCAAACGCGCAAGTTCCTGACTTCAGCTTACTTTGTATTTAAGCGTGGCAACACTTTGTTTAATTTTTAACTTATTCGGTAAAGCTATTAGGCTAGTACGTTGCTAAACGTGGATAATCTTTGCTAAGGTTTAGTCGTGGTGACCCGACGGTTAAAACGCCCGCTTCTCATGTATGAGGGTGCGGGTTCGAAACCTACCAACGGCAAGTAGCAATGTGACATTTTCCGAGTTATATGTACTTTCTAAGATTATTTAGACACCACTGATAAACGGTGAAGGAAAAAATCGCGAGGAAACCTGGAATTATATTTTCTAAGTTTGAAATCGCCAACTCGCAATGTGTAAGCGTGGTGATTAGCTGAGGCTTTGCTCAGCAGTGGGCACTTATGGGCTGTTGATGAAGGTTTAGTCTTTTGAACGGACCAATGAGCATAAAGCTAATTTTTTTTTTATACTTTATAGGTCGACGTTTGACCACCATCTCGCCTGATGGTAAGCGATGATGTGGCCGACGATCGAGATGGATAAAATATATAGTTTTCAACTACAACTTATAAAATATAGCCCACTATACCTATACCCTAGTACAGAAGACCAATGTCTTCAATGGTCTTCAATCACAGACATGGAATCGCACAACCTTAGGTTAAAAAAAAAACAACCAAGGACATTATAAGGACTTAATGCCTAGTTGCCAGTGACTTGCAATCTTATAACTATCAATAAATTTTCTTTACACAATTTTTAACTGACTGACTGCCTCGTTGGCCGAGTGATCGCAAGTGCGACTGCCGGGCAAGGGGTCTCGGGTTCGATTCCCGGGTCGTGCAAAGTATTACTGGGTTTTTAATTCTCAGTAGTAGCACGGAGTTTGGAGTTGTGCCTGGTATATGGCAATAGGCTCACCCCCTATTACATGGGACTCATAACATAAATAGTGAAAAGTGAGTGTTACATTGTACAGTGGCATAATGTGCACCTCTACCTACCTATTCGGGGATAATAGGCGTGATGTTATGTTAAGTGTTAATTTTTACCTATTTAATGAAATATACTTATTAATTATACTCACCAACAACATCAAGCCTCGCTGAGGCCATGTACTGAGGGTAGGCATGTGAGTTGTGTATTGCCTCGCACGTGTAGTTGCCGCTGAGGTTCGCCCCTACCCGAATTAAAAATACGTGTGTCTCATTCGACCTTAACCTCTGTGGAAGAAGAATAAATAGTTAGTAAATTGTATGAAATATTAGTTATACGATCTAAAGCTTTATGGTTGAATTTTGATTGTATGATGTAAGGCTATAAGATTTCTTTTTAGAAAAAGCAAAGCTTTATGATTACTTATTCGACAATTATTTTGATAATGTTGTTAACATACTAAAAAGAGCCAACATTTTGGACATCACCCTACCCAATAATAGGAATAAGCCTAATCCGAGCATTGTCAATTACAAAAATAACACTATCCATCATTTTTGACGTTTTTAAAGTACTAAACAATTAATTGAAATGAATCCTTTGACTATAACTTTGACATCATTTCACAAATAATCATGCATTTAACACCTTAAAACAATGACGATAAAGCTCTAACTTAAAGTACTCACATCAACTTTAATCCCATTGACTGGTAGCAGCCTTATCTGGGGTGAATCTAGCGGTGAGTACCGGTAGAACTCCTGAGTTCCCTTGTACCACTTAACCGAGTACACTCCATACTCGTGAGGTGGGAATAGGCAAGACATTGTGACGTTCTTGCCTCGCTGTACGACCCGCGGCGTGATGCGCAGTTCCGTGGTACGGAGGCCACCCGCTCCTGTGAAAGAATATACCGTATTGTAATGAGATTTTTTTGTTTTATTCTATTTTTTGAACCTAGTTTGAAGGTCCTGTTATATTTTACATGCATCTCATGACATATTAGTCGACTTTACCCAAATCGGTGGGCGATTACATTTAGACAAGTCAAAGTCACAAGCAAATAGGAAATTTCAATTGTAATAATATAAGTAAAGTACATAAAACAAGGTCTGATATTGTTCAACTACTACGCCGAAATTATGTTTAATTTTACAGCAAAAATCTTTATGAAATATTAAGGAGATCTCACACCAAAGAAAAACTTCAAAAATCATGTCATTATAAACCTGTATACTTTATTACCTCAAGAAAAACAGGCTCTAAATCTAAGCCCAGAACATGGGTCACAACTGAACCCGGGCCAATAAGTCGGCAAGCCAAACAAGTCCACAATTTATCTGCGAAACGATTTCAGTCAACCTAATAAATAACTTCACAGCCAAAAAGCCGACAAACAAAACCACTTAGATCCAATGCTATCATTAGCAGACTATCCTTATACCCATTCTTGGTTTACTACCAAATCGTAAAATATTTATTGAAGAAAAAGCATTTTATTGCAATAAAATACCTATTTCATTCGGAAAAATATGATCTTATATAATTTTTGTTCTTAATTAATGAGTGCTTTGTTTTAATGAAATTGATGATATTTCTTTTATTAGGATATATATTTTTAAATTGTTTTTTATTCAATCTTGATCTGACATAGAAAATCATATCTATTTTCTGCTTGTCGAAATGAAATGCGTCAGAAAAACGTTTCGTTTTGTACCATACGCGAGTATTATTGAACTCTTTAACTCTCTAGAGAAATACAAAGTAATTTATCAACGTCAGCGTCAAGTTACCTTTAATTTTAAGACGTTTAACTAAAATATACTTTAGTGAGAAATAAATATTGAAAAAGCAATTTCAACATTAAGATTGAAAAGTAAGTTAACAATTTATTTTCGTCAGTTAGGTGAAGTATTATTGGCATTTGCGATTTTCGATTTCTAATAATTAGAATAGTGTGCAGAATAGTACTCAGTAGCGAACAGTTATAATTTATTATATGCTTTAATAAAATTTGAGGAAATCAGCCATTATAAAAAACTATTGTCTGTAAAAGTCAAAGTTGACATTTAAACTGTCAAACACCAAGCGGTCACCGGTGACCGCAACCTATTGTTCTTTAATTGTGTCTACAAAACCGGTACTCGACGAGTTAATATTACAATAAAATTACGTCCACCATTGGTAAATAAATTAGTGAGTTTGTTTCATTATGCAACTATAATTAAATATTAAGTTAACAAATTCTTAAAAAATTAATTAATCCTTCACACATTCTCAAATGAAAATTTTACAATTTGAGAACGAGCCTCGCTTCAGTAATTCCCACTTCCGTAGCCCGTGATGCATTACGCTTCGTATTGTGGTGCATTAATCCCAAGCCGAGAATAATTGGTCCCACTGATGTAGGATGAACTCGGTTTTACTCTATGTCGTGTGCAGTAGCCATTTCAAAAGCGTTTCTAGAGTTTCTCTGCTCATTGTGTTTTACTGCTGGTTTTTTTTTCAATAGGGAATAATTTCGCGTATTCCTAGTGTTTGTATTTAGTTAGAGTTTTAAACTTTTGACAATGGGATTTGACGAATATGTATTGTAATTTATTCTGACAATATTATCAGATTAAATTTGTCCTCTATATGACTAATATATGCACAACAGTAATGTCGTCTTCTATACTTTGATTGCAAAATGACCTCATTGCCAAAAGCTAACAGTATTCTTAAAATTTTGCACTTTTTTATTCACTGTACAATGTACATACTACATTGGACATAGTACATTCACTGTGCAGCCATCTCTTTCCTATTCATTCATATTTTTTGATTAGATTCGTTGTGTAATTCAAAACAGTTTGTTCATGTCTGTCTCTGCGACACAATGAGCTTAGCTCTCTCATGGCAGTTCTGATGTGTCGCTTTGTAGACTCAGGCTTACACAAGTTTCAGTAGTGGGAAACATGTTGAGAGTTTGTCTCAAATGAAATTTTGTCTATCTGTTTATTATAGTTACATAATATACTAACATAATATCACGCCTTTCATCCCCGAACGGGTAGGCATAGGTGCACATTTTGGCACTTAATGCCACTTTACAATGTAACACCCACTACTTTTCACTAATTATGTTATGAGTCCCGTGTAATTCCAGGCTCCGTGCTACTACTGAGATTTTAAAGGCTTGTAATACTTTGCCCGACCCGGGAATCGAACTCGAGTTGCACTTACAACCACTCGCCCAACGAGGCATATAATAATAAACTATTCCTTCATCTATTCTGTAAATAGCATTTTTCAAGATTTTTAGGTGTCACCAATAAAATTATATATTTCAGAATGTTAGTTACATTACAGACTATTATAACTTATGATAAAAGTTCTAGCATTCAATAAAAAGTTCAAAGAAACATTTGTTTGACAACAAAGAATTTAGTTTTGAAAATTTATTTAATGCTACATCGCTCTGATCGACGATAGATGTCAGTGTCAACGTTTTTCAAGATAACTTTGCTGTTGAAGAAAATATTTCTATAGATACTGTATTTTTCCTTTCTACTGTCTAACATTGAATAAATATTCCTTCAAAATATTCGAACTAGCCAAGCATTCTGATTCAGCAGCACAACGTTTTGTTGCATGAAGCGTGCTAAGAAAATTCAACAATATTTCTTGAGATAAAAGATGAAAACCGAATATTGAAGACGATATTTTTCAAAGAATATAATTCACCTGTAGAGGTTGATTTGTTCGAAAAACGACTTAGATATACCGTTTCGATATTGTTATCGCTTTGCCTTTTATTTTAAATTATTTATTTAGACTGCCTCGTTGGCCGAGTGGTCGTAATTGCGACTGCCGGGCAAGGGGTCTCGGGTTCGATTCCCGGGTCGGGCAAAGTATTACTGGACTTTTTCAAAAAATATGGCAATAGGCTCACCCTCTATTACATAAATAGTGAAAAGTGGGTTTTACATTGTACAGTGGCATTAAGTGCTGTTATGTACACCTCTGCCTACCCCTTCGGAGATAAAAGGCGTGATGTAATGTTATGTTATTTATTTAGAGTTTATTTCATTGCAAAGTAGCTTTGCTTATTCTAAAGAGAATCCACATTCAAACAAATAAGTCTATCAAACAACATTGAACGTGTTTACTAAGACTGTATAAACGTTGTAAGTGTCAATATTGTGTGTCATAGATTCAATTTACTACTCCACAATCAACTAAATGCCTCGAGTTTCTAATTGATGTAGCTGACAGGCCGAGCGAAGCATACGATGCCCTATCGAGATCACTTCCACCAATACGTGTGGGCGTAGCAGCGTAGAGCTCCTCCATAATTTAATTAGACAGCAATCGAAGAGAATTACTATGCATACAAGTTACACTAAGTGAGTGGACGAAGCAATCTCCTACAGTAAAAGGTGAACTCACTATCTAAATACCAAGACCAAGCAAACTGAATAAAAGATTCAGAGAAAATCTTGCATTTATAAACAGTAAAAGGACGAAGTATCCAAGTCACTAAAAAAATAAGGAAGGATAAAATCACACACAAGCTGGCTACGGGGAAGCTTCTAGATAATTCTATTAACCTAGCCCCCTTATCTTTTCGAAAGCGAATTTAGCTTTGAGTCCAATGCATCACAATGAGTTTTTCTTTTTTTTTCTGTACAGATATCATAACGCGAGCGAGCCCCCGGAGGATTACCAGAAACAATGAATACAGAACGCGGATTCTTTTTTTGTCGTTACCCGACAAGGTTTGTAGCATTAATTTAATTTTGTCTTTGATATTTATCTCGCATGTATTTTTTAGCGTTTATAGAGAGGGTATGATTGCCATCGCATAGGCATGTGATGTGTTTTGTTATTTTTGCGTTCCATCACGACAATCGTTGACAAACGAAAATAAAATTAGAAAGCACATATTTTTTCAATCCATTGTTTATCTTTTCCGAGAATTAATATTGAATAGATTGAATTTTGCAGTAGGTTCTTTTTAAAAAAGCTCACAAAAAGCATGTGGATAACAGGTTTTTTTTAATGTTTTTGCTTGCTTGAAATTGATTGGTTTGGTCTAATAAATTATACCAACAGTCGTCTTTAGTACAATGATAAATCACATGACATATTCCCTCATAAATTTGACAGATCACTTGAGTAAAAATAATTTATTAGACATCGTTTTAAGACTTCATTCACCATTTATTAATCCATAATTTATTAAAGTTTATTTATTTGAAATGACCAAATAGAATGCTTGAAACTACCCTAAAATGGACAAGTCACAACATCATTTTTTATTTAAAAATAAATAGATTCATAAATCCACAACTAAGCGTTTCGAACTCGCTCTAATATCTTGCAATAACCATAAGTTCGTACGAATATAGACTACTAAGTCTTATTGGTGGGGCGAACGCACCTGCTACCGTCCGAGCAGTAATAATTCTCGATGTCCATGCATTCTGTTTTCTTGTGAGGATACGGTCGGTAGTAGGGGATCGGCGACAGCGATTTGTGAGAGCGATTTATAGAAAATACGTGACTCAAGATTAAAACATATTTATGATACGTCCGCATTATAAATAAGGACGAGAAAATGTTTATAATTTACGTCGAAATTAATAGCGTGTTATTTTGTGATGTTTTCGATATTAATTTATATTTATTTCTGATACAAAATATTATTTGTTTAATAAAAACGATTTGATATATTTTAGTGATTAGTTTCACAATGTCATTTTGTATTAAAGTTAATGACTAGATGATACCTAATTCATAATTTTAGGCTCACAGCATTAAAATAGACCATTTTGCATTTCCACTGAATTTTATCAAACAAATTCGTAATTGAATGTGGCTAATTTGTGATAAGTAATTATCTTATTGATTTAC